AGCTGGAATGTGTGAGGAGCTCGCATATCCTTGAACGAATTAGACACAGTCCCATCAGAGAGCTTCTCCGGTAGGCGAGGCTGCGTTTGCTGAGTCATGTAGCCGCATGCGAAGTTACCGTGTGCCCAAGCAGTTTCTGTTTGGCCAGATTGATGGGGCTAAATGGGTGCGGCATGGGCAGGAGAAGAGATGTATTGATGTGGTACAGAAGGACGTGGAGCTGATGTACTTGCTGATGACTGGTACCGGCGGTGTCAAGATCGGCCTTCATGGAGGAGGTTCTTGAAAGATGTTACTAGCAAGGTGGAGGCAAGTTGCCCTCTAGCAACAATTTAGTGCGGGGGTAGCGACGCTCACAACAAGCGGCGCACCAGGTGGCAAATATGCAGCAAGTTGGCACATTGGGTAGCACAGGTAGTGCTGACCTCCTGTGAGCAAGCTTAAAAGAACACCTCGCCTGGAACAATAGCCGTGGTGACGTCGCCTCCACTTATTGGTGACCAACGGTTGTTTGTATAATTTAGGGTATTGATATTTAGTATAGCATTATGGTCACTGGAGAAAGTACTTCTAGAGTGAACTAGCATACAGATATAATATATTTATTACAGTGTTTTAGTACAATGTTGAATTATTTAAAATGTTGGAGTTATATTGACCAATGAACATGCCGGAATATCACCACCTCTTGTAAACGATCACCAGCGCAAAAACATTTTGTTAATGTTTATACATGCACAATTTATATTTAAAGAAAAAAAAAGTACTTCCTTTTAGTGCATCATGCTGTCAGATAAAGACAAAAAGGACATCACTAAAGTCCACAAATAACTAAGTAAGAGACGTCAGGACAGAATGCATTTTAGTTGCTAGGTTAAATAAGGTAACATATAAAGATGTAGATGTTAATTTATAATACTTTGTAGCTGTGTGCAATTTCCTGTTTGCCTACAGCGATTAAATTTGTTTTAAACTAATTTTCTGACTCAATATGTAAGAGTTGAAAGGTACGATGCAAATCCGAAAATTTATTATTTAAAAGGATGCAAAATTCGGTGATCTCCACCTATATTTTCACCTATATTGCAAAGTGGAACCAATTTTACCTTTACAACTTCAAGCCAGTCTTGATATTTCTTCAACTGGGAATGAATGACCTTGCGTTTGAGGAAAATTACTCAATTGTCCCACAGCTGCTTTTATGTTTAGTTTGCCAGAATTTAAATCGACATTGGAACGTATAATTATTTCAGCTTAAGCAGTATTTTAATGAAGCACCTCATCAATTATGAAACTTTTTATTGTAAAAATTCCATTCACTGCATACTTTGCCTTTTGTGCTGTGCAATATGTTCCTTTTAACTTGGGAACCATGTTATTTGTTAAGTGTTAAATATATTATTTCTAAATCCGAAATTTACCAAAATGTGAATGTCTGGATTTAAGTTCGACATTTGTTAAATAAACTATGCCTCATTGGTTGATTGTTTTTCCCTATAGCACAGTAACTTAGCTGGATGGATTGCAACTCTATGTTGACTTCTACTTTCTGGTCGATCATTTTAAGACAGCAATTCCTCAAGTAATGGATGAGGGATTTTATGTGCCTTGAAAGATAAAGGCCGAGTTAGCTCGCAAATGGCATGAGCACAGAACGATTTAGGCATTAACGAAAGCATTGATTTCCCCGTCTTTAAAACATCAAGCAACACTTGGATCCATGTGATTGAAATCAGGTGCCTAGCGAGCAAATGGCATTTAAAAATAAATAGCTTAGACATTTATGTTTCTCTCTCTTTCCAGGTGTACATCTTATTTTAAGCTTCACCAGTCGTCCTCAAATTATCATCATTTTGTAATAAATGTATAAAATATTTATATTGATTATGAAAAGCCTCTGTAAAAATATATATTAACCTGTTTCAATTGCTTAAAGAGATATATATGATTTTATTTAACATGATTTGGGTAAAAACAGGTTAAAAAGGTTTTTGAGTCATATATACTCTTCTATCGTCATATGTCGACTGACTGGGATACCTTTAGACATTTGAGTAGATGTTAGTAGACATTTAAAATTATAACGCAATTGAAGATGGCAGTTTTTTTCTTTATATGTGATCCTAGCAGATCAGAGAAAAGTCCACAGAGGAAATAGATCCTTGCTATAGAGTGAAGCATAATGTTTATTCCCTTTGTTACCGAACCAAAAATAATACAGGGCTTGTTAAATTTTGTAATTTGCGTTTAATTAGGCATGTGCCCACAATTGCCTATGCGAGTGCTGTATACCTTTCACAGTAGTGTTGTTTGGCAGTCATGGTCTGTTTAGCACATGTGAAAGGGATACAAAAAAAATAATCAAACGCACACTCACGCAATACGCAGACATGTTCAATCAGCATAATATACCAAGAAAGCCCATTGGGATATCATCATGAAACAAGACATTGTTGCAATGGTTAATTTGATATTGTCACAAGCCGCACATGCATATTGCTCTCCTATAAGATAATCACATTGCATTTGCAGATGCTCTTTTTGAAACGCATTAATCACATTATGCTTATTTATTGAAACATTTATACCTATATAAATAGCATTTCAACAGGCAGAATATTTACTGTTGTCTATGCAGATTGGGGGATGTATTTACTCTCTAAGGGGGCACGTATCATTTGCACATTTTCAATGTGACATAGGTGTCTAAATTTTCTTGTTTTACTGACACATTTTATATAGATATAAAAAAACCACCATATGCTTCTCCACACACCAAGTGAACAGATATTGAATCTAATTCTGTCTTGCCGTTATCGGCGACGTAAGCCGCTCAGGTTTAAGCATTCACCTCTGTTCAAGGTTTCGGTGCAGCCATATCAGTTCCCATAGTAATGCATTTTTGGAGCGATATCATTCGGCCAGAATGTGTACCTTGTTTTCCCTTCTGCTTGCTGACATGAAAAATGCCACGAAGCACTGGGTATTTTTTTTATTCATGTGCAGCAGACAATAATACAAGTTTACAGGTGAAGTCCACCATTTCACAGGCAGTACAATAAAAAAAAAATCTACGAAAGAACAGCTAAGAAAAGTGAAATACATAAATACTGTTTGTTATATAACTATCGTGTTACCGGAAGGATATATCTTCAACGATGGTAGGTGGTATTGATTAGCTTGGAGAGATGAAAGTTTGCTCTTCTGCTGTGTCATTGCCGATGAACACTTGACATTTTATGAGAATTTTCATTGCAATATTGCTTATCTGAATCAACAGTGACGTGAAGCTATTGCTGTATGGCTGCTGTTCTCCTTTTTTGCAATACATTTTAATATAGAAATTACCCACAGTCATTCTGCCACTGGCAATAAATAAGTATTTTAAAACGTGGTGCCCTTTGGTAGCTAATTTAAACATTGAAGGTCAGGTTAATGTGACCATATTGTGGGAACACAATGGTCCAATCTTGTGAAGTGTACCACAAATCTCCAAAAAGACAGATTTTTTTTATTGTTGCTACATAACAGCAGCTATTTATATTTCCAAGCCCGCAACGTACTATATTTGGTGATCGTGTGGCCAAAAGGCATCGTGCCTGGCAGTAAACAAAAGGATAAAACACATAATTAATTGTATCACCAGTTTGGGTCCCTCATGGGAACTCCTTTCATTCTGCTATTGGCAAACATTTTGTTGCATTTATCTATATGTAGAAACTGTTAGTACGCTATTAAGGGGTTTTAATATTGTGATCACATGGCCTGAATAATATTGAAAATCCAATTCTGAACAAAGCTGATCTGACCTATGATTCCACAAAATTCATGAGTTGATCTGAGCTGGCATATTCAAGCATTTATCGAGGAAAATTACTTTTGCTTGCACATACCCATGCAGATGTGCATAAGTACATAGATAAATGTATTCATCATACAACATCTTTCATTGACCACTAAGTGGCAATTATGTAATCATGCTTCTTATGCCCGAATAGGTTCACAATGAAGCTACATTAATTGAAGGTCTTCATATGGATACAGGTGTTATTGGATAACACAAAAGGATAACTGGCAGATGCACCGCATGTTCTTCTAACTTTGCCAACTGGTTTTATTTTATAGCTGCCCTAAATTCTGTGAATTGTTATGACTGACGTCTCTGCTTCCTGATGTCACTTTGGAAGGCGACTTCCACCATCTGTATAAACACAAGACTAAAACAAAGATCCCTGTATAGCCTGAACAGACTTTTGTTGTAAGTGCTGTTAGTGAGCACCTATGAAGACCAGAATGGCACACGGTCAGGTGGGGGGCCAGCTCCACGCCTGAACACCTTTGTCTCCCCAATGCTGATCTTTACACATTGCATCAGGTACTCAATTGACGCTGATTAGACCTAGGGAAGGCCCAGGGCCGGTTAAACTGGGGTCGTTGAGTTCTTAGCACAGCGTGCTAACCACTGCACGACACACGTGCAAACACACACGTGAGACTTATGGCTTCTGAATGTATGTATTTATGTTGAATTTCTTTCACACCGTACATAGCTAACCATGCTAATCGGAGTTACAGGAGAAGGACGACAAACTAAACATAAACAACTGTTCTAAAGAAATTCGTTTTCAATCTAGACTTAAAAGTGCATAGCTCCAGTGGCTTCCTAATTTCGGAAGGAAGAGCGTTCCAGACGACCGCCGAATCACATCTGAAAGCACGTGATGCAGTGTCCATCTTTGTTCAATGTCCAGCCAGAACCCGGTACTGCGAGGATGACCGGAGTTCGCATGATGGTTTTTGCTCGTTGACGAGATCAGGAAGATAAAACTGATTTTTTTTAAGACTTATGACTTCGGTTTGTATGTATGTTAAACTTCTTTCGCACCGTATGTAGCCATTCGTGCTAATCGGAGGTGCAGGGAAAGGACAACACATTTAACGCAAAAAGCAGCAATTCGTTTTAAATCTAGACTTTATAAAAAAAATACGTTTGTTCTCAGGTGTGTCGTGAACACAGTGGAGGGGCCTGGAGACACTGTAGACGACCCTCTTTGTGACACGGACGTGCGGCTGGACGGGGTGCGGCAGTGTCGGCTGCCTTGCCCCAATGAGTGCGTCATGTCAGAGTGGGGACCCTGGACCAAGTGCCCACAGGTAACCAGACATTGTCAATCACCTCAATCCACAGGTAACCTGACCCTGTCAATCACCTCAATCCACAGGTTAGCAGACACCATCAATCACCTCAATCCACAGGTAACCAGACACTGTCAATCACCTCAATCCACAGGTAACCTGACCCTGTCAATCACCTCAATCCACAGGTTAGCAGACACCATCAATCACCTCAATCCACAGGTTAGCAGACACCATCAATCACCTCAATCCACAGGTAACCAGACACTGTCAATCACCTCAATCCACAGGTAACCTGACCCTGTCAATCACCTCAATCCACAGGTTAGCAGACACCATCAATCACCTCAATCCACAGGTAACCAGACACTGTCAATCACCTCAATCTAACTTCAACATTTTTCCTGCAGGCATCAACTCTGGAAAAATTAATAGCGAACACGTGATGTTGTTTTGACAATGTTTGAAGGAACACTCTTGAGTCGGACTCTGTACATCCATTCAGATTTCAATACAAGCAGAGAGTGCACCTTTATTATTGAAAACAGGATTTAATGCGAATTTGTGAGCAGCTGTGCTGAATGAAATCTGTGTTTTCATATCTGCTTCGATGATGTATTAAACATGGACAAATTCTGTGGCAATGCTCTAGTGGGAATATAGTCAATAACAATTTCGCTTAAAATATTGTGATTCTTGTACTGTAATGATATTCAACTGAGATGGGGGTTTTTTTGTCCACACATGAACGGTTCTAGTCTTATAACAAAGCCCAAAATGTTATTTTAGAAATGTTTCGTTTGTCGCTGAAGAGACGACAACATCTGCGTACACACAAAATGAACAATACAAACGGTTAAAAAATCTTTAACCCAATTTCAAAGCAGTATATTTCACGATGGCAACATGTTACAATTACACAAAAAGTTACAAACGTTTTAATGATTTATCAAGTTTTAGGAACCATTTAATAAATGCTCTATGTGCCCTCCACCTGCTTTACGGACAACATCGAGACGATAGTTGAATTCGTCCGAAACGCCTCTCAAAGTGTCTTCTTACACTGAAGTCACCGCTGCCGTCATTCTGTTTTTGAGGTCATCCAGATTAGTCGCTAATGGTGGCACAAAAACACCACGGGTCTTTGACGTATCCCCCCAAGAAAAAGTCGCAGGGTGTGATGTCTGGGGATCTTGGGGGCCAAGAGTGTAGCGCCAAGTCTAGGGGTCTAGTGCGACCTATCCAGCGTTGAGGCAGTGTGTCTCGCGAATGACTGAGGCTAGGGGCTGTTTGTGCGCTGGGAGAGGCATCTCGCGGTAATCATTTGAAACTCTATGCCCCACCCTTTCAAGTGGTAAGAGTTTAATTCATGGGCGGTTCGTGGTTGCAGAGATATAGCGATTTCAAAACGGGTCCATCTTTTTAATACACCCTGTAGACCTCATAGATATGCCTGCGATTAATTGGTGACGTCTATTTTGCTCCAATTTTGTACACACAGGGATGCATTTTAAGGCAGCTGTATAATTAATAATCACTGACAGGGGAATTACTGGTAATGCAAAATCATGGACACTGTTGAACTACCCTTTAATCATTTGTGTGCAATTTCAGATCTGCAAAGAATAGCTTAATATGGTTTGCCACTAATTGTGGACATATTACACCTAGAATAGGCACACTAATAGCCCCATTCAAAGGAGCCAAATAGTATACATTTCTACGCACCGTTCGCGTTATAGTTTGCAAGTTACGCTTCTTTGTAGTCGACCTCTTCGATGCACTGAACACAGTGCTGAAAAAGTTGATGAGTTAATGAGATCGATCGATTGCTTATCAAGAGGTTGTTTGAAAAAAATATATGTATACGGAAGATGACCGATACTGGGGCATCCGGCCTACGAAACGTGACGCTCACCGCAGTGCACGCCAAACCTGGCCACAATGAGCAATAACGTCGATGATGTCGTCAACCCCCCAACCTCGTGTCTTTTGCCTGTACACACACCGGCAATCTGAGGTTTAAGTATGTATGTACGTATTTGTGAAAATTATATGTAGATCATGTGACAATTCGGTATTTGATGAGTTGAACCAATATATCAGTCGGTTTTGTTGTTTCAACGGTCGATTGTTGTTGGCAGCTGTGGAAAACGCCGAACCATCTGTCAGTATTTGTAGCAGTAGAAATGCTCACCACTTGAGCCAATTTGTGTGGAGCTGACAGATTGATGCCTGCAGCTAGGGCTGAACGATTAATGGATTTCAAATAGAAATGGCAATTTGAAACAATGCGATTAGCAAATCGCAAAGGCTGCGATTTTTACGATTTTAAAAGTCCTATGACTATCTTATTGGAATTGTTTTATTTTTTATTATAAAAAATATATTTATTTAACTTAACAATTGTTCTATGTTTGATTGTTCTATTTCAATTAAAACATTGTAATAAATACATGTTGGAAGCAATTCATATCTTTTAACTTCTCATCCTTGCATTAGAATATATAGAGCAGTTCATATTTTGATGGTATTATGTGGTAATGCTCCATCACATGTTTTAAATCTATTACACTGAATATTGAACTGAAGCTTGACTTTAAAAAAATCGCAAATCAAATCGCAATATCTGTCAGAAAAATCGTAGTTAGATATTTTCCCCAAATCGTTCAGCCCTACATGCAGCCCCCTCCTAATCTCTTCAGGGATATCATGGGAAATTACGAATGTATGCGGTCTGTCAAAATGGGTAGTTATGATCCATGGCATCGTTGCTCATTAGGGTATACAAGTACGTGGGAAATGTTATGTATCTGCAAGTAAATGGTAACAATTTGTAAAATGTTCGTTTTTAAGTGTACATAACAAAGGGACATTACTTTAAAAATTTCAAGTAATTTGCCTTAACTTGATAGTCTCACATGTTCACTGCAAAAATGATGGAAGTAACAAAACCCATCACCGTTTAAATGTAAGTACAGCATACATTGGGTAGATGGGTGAAACATAAAAAAATGCACTGGACCTACAAATAAAATAAAGGTATATTTTAGATGCAGTCAAAAGATGATGAAGGGATGCATATTTATTCTAATGGAAGAGGCTAAAAAGTCTGAATTGCTTTCATTCTTACTGATATTTTGACCCCTTTAAACGACATTTCCACGTGCATAAACGCGTATTCTATTCTCCACCTGTGCATACATGTGTGTGTACATGCATGCATATATTACATCAAGAGAGCATATTTAATAATAGTGAATCACGCAAGAATGTAGGGAAATAGAGTTTCTCACTTGCATTGCCTTTCATTTGCATTCATGGAAATTTATTTGGACCCCAATGTTGAGGACATTTAATGATATACAATACAACTGAATGCTATTGATTAAATTATGTAAACTGCAAAGCAGTGCACCCACACTTTGTATTCACCAATGCTGTTTTACCAGTTAAACTTACAGAGACTGATAATTGTTGAAAACGTTTGACCTGTGCTCACAGTCTTTTTGCATGATCACTTTTTTTTACTTTTTTCTTAAGTGGTTTCGAGTTATATCTTTTATTCTCAAAGCCTCTTATGGAAGCCCTAAGACACAAAGAATGAAAATCTATTCGCCATCTTGAAGTGAATATTATTCTGAGCTCACCAAGCAGCCATAGGCAAAATTAGCTCCGTCTCCTTTTTAGGAGTCCTTATTTCCACAACTAAACGTAAATTAGAATTTCTGAACACCTATGTACGTTTATGTGAATTATATCACTGCATATGTGCAATAGGCTATTTTTCTCTGTTGAGTTGAAACGAATGAATAGTGTGTTCCCGTAGAGTATCAGTGTATGATGCTAATTATAACCGCAAATGCCATTGTTGACAATGCCTCTATTGGGATTGTAAATAAAATATAAAACCATAAAAATACGTTTTAAACTTTGAATCCTGACATCAAGTGAGATTCTATATTTTTTTGACGGCCATTGAAACACTTTCTTGTTAAAGTTTATGCTCTGGAACAAATCTCTGTGGACATTTAAACCATGTCCGTTGCCAAAGTATAATGTCCAGAAGTTTTATGTAATGTATTTTCTAATTGCGAAAATTAGCATTTATGCATAGTTTTCTTCAGCACTACTTGTTTCCCTCCTCCCCAAATTGAACTCTAACTCCCATTTGGAATTTTAATTACTGTATTTTCCATTCTCTATAGAAAATATATAATAAAAAACTATTTTTTTATATATTTTTTATTGACTGTAAACCAACATGTACCATTTATGGATATTTTTTCTTCCAAAATGTTTTTTTCATGCAAGTGGAGTTTGTTATATTCCTTGGCAGTCTTTCATTTGAAGATCAGTCTTACACTAAAATATACCTTACACGCTCAGTAAAAAAAAAATCCCTTCAGTATTAAAATATAAATTACTGAATCATGAACTATCCTCTATCCTCTGTTGTGGCGAAGGCCACTCAACATTGTCACCACCCTTGACGATTTTCGTGACTCAACAATCGACTCAGCTCCTTCACGTGAGCTGATCTCGTTGGCCCATCTCCGTGGTTCACCTCATCCTCAGGCGTGTTCCCTCCTTAATCTACGTAAAAAAACACAATGCTCACCTCTCATGTCAACAATGGAGCCTGGAGGTGTGTGCGAGGTTTCAATAAAGAGCCCTGTTTAACTCGCAGGAATGCTGCCCATTTCCCGGTCGTTAAAAAAAAGATGTACGGCACGGAGAGAGGGTGACATTACGGCAGGATTCTTCTTCGCACTAGAGTGAGATGCCATCAGCCATCACTTTGTGGGATGATTCCACGGAGAAGGGCAAAAACTGTCATGCTGACTTGTTATGGGATTAATTTTATATTTGAAATTTCTCATTTCCTGCAGCTTCTATTCAAACTTTATTGATAGATGTAACTTTTTCCCCCCCCATTTGATTCTAATCAGTGAGCAGCAATAAAGTATGTCATTGTTAATGGTGATTTTCCATCAAAACTTTCTCCAGAAGCCCAACTATTCTGAAGGAAAGTAATTTTTATATAAAATTTAGTGAGTCTCTGCAAGACTATTTTTTTTTATTATCTTGCATTCAAAGTTCTAAACTGTCACCAGATGATAATTGTGCAAAGATAAACAATGTTGATCATTATTTTGGGCCTTTTTCAATACTATTAAAATGTTTGAAGACGGCATAACCACGTGTACGTGCGTTGTGCGTTGCAGTCGAGGATCATGGGTAAGGAATACCCACGTGGACAGGAAGTTCCGTCTCTCCTACTGTATGGCTGAAAAAAATGTTGTTATAATTTACACATTGGGAGACACACTTCTTGCTTGTACATTTGTATCCTTATGCGCATTTAGGTTCCGCATGTGGCCATACGAATATCATTATTTTCGTCCTGTAAATGTATGCATATTCTAAAATGCATGTGTATGTTTAAATCATGCATGTCTCCCAAGTGTGACATTGCTCCTGACGGCAGGTAAAATTGAGGGTATTTTATTAAACCAAGTGAGAACTGAAGAGACCAGAATAATCGAATCTGCAAGGGTGCCCTGGGTCACCAAAATGACGAAAAGAAATATACAGATTTGGCAAGGAAAATTTAAAGAAAATCATAGCAGAATATCCGCGTCATGGATTAAATAAAAAAGATTACCGTTCAAATATACAACAATATTAAATAAAATAGAACTTTATATGTATGTCATATATCCAAAATTATTTTGCATTGGACCTAGCCAGCCGTGCGAAACGGAGGTGCGGGGGAAGAACGACAAAACGAAACACAAAAAGGAGTTCTAAAGACGTGAGTTTTCAATTTAGATTGACAAGTGCATAGCTCCAGTGGCTTCCTCATATCGGAAGGAAGAGCGTTCCGGACGGCAGCAGAAGCGCATCCGAAAGCGCGCGATGCGGTGACCGTCTTTGTTCGATGACCGGCGTTCGCACGATAGTTTGTGCTCCTCGACGAGATCACCAGAGTATCGTGACGTAAGTTGACTCGGTCACGTGACTTTTAAAAACATTGATGTTAAAATCGAGCCGGAGTGGTGTGTGCACGCGCGTGTCCGCCTGAATGCGTATGTGTCCTCTCGAGTGCAGCCGTGCGATGTGGAGACGGTGCGAATCCGCTCGCGCTTCATCCAGCGCATGCCGGCCGACGGCGAGACCTGCCCTGAGGACACAGAGTCAGAACACTGCGTGCTCAACCAAAACTGCTTTCACTACCGCTATAACCTCACTGGTAATACACTATGAACTATTATCGATTTTACATTTCACCAGGTGAGAAGACCCACTGAGCTACATAGCTCTCTTAATTCAGGAGCGACGTGGCCACAAATGACAGCTCAACGAAGTGGCTTATCACGAAGAAATGTATAGCAGCCAAATGCTCTCAACGCATGTTGATTCTAAATCTGAAGGGAATAACTGGAGGACCAAAGAAAAATTCACACGACCATAGGGAGAGAGACATGCACACTCCAAATATACAAGCGTCAGGTTCGGGATCGAACCCATGACCTCCTGTATACCAGGCGACGTAGTTAACATCACGCCACCATGGCGCCCATCATGCTCATCATTGACCACTTACAGCCTTAACAAGAGCAGTGCAGACCACAATGCCTGCTGCATCCGTTGACAGTTGCCCATCTAACGCCACTGGCATTGGGAAATGTAATAATGGTGACATGGCACGAGAATTAGCTAATGCTTTTTGCGCTTATGGTATAATTTTAATAGGACTGATTAAAAAAGTGATTTTTAATGAAAAATTACTATTTCGTTTGAGGCTACTTTCTTCTAACATCAGTTCTTAAGAGCTACAAGAATCATGCGTCAATGAAGAATCATCTCCACGAGACTCAGTATAAACACGTGACATGTTATCATCATCATCAATGGCCATGTTCATTCGACTGCTGGATAAAAACATCTGCAAGCCACCACCATTTCCCCACATTCGATTAGCATGGCTGGCTACGTATGGTGTAAATGAAGTTAGACATACATTCTCGCAATCCTGTGATGTATCGAAGCCACCTAGCATCTGCACATGAGCTGATTTCATCGTACCCCCCCCCCCCTACTGGGGACAGAATCTTGCTCATTATGGTCAAAAAGTCAAATTGGTCAAAAAGTCAAATTTAAACCAGTGCATTCTTACCTTGAGCTAAGGAGGCTCATTAATATCAGGTGAACAAAGGTTAGAGCTGGGGAAGTTTGGACAAGCGCCCTGACGGCCTAAGACAGCAGTGACAGTTGTTCCGGACATGGTGGCATGAGGTAGAAAATCATCATACTGGAGCGGTATATCATTTGTCAGGTGGAACGGTCCAATACGGCAGATGCACCTTTTTACAAGCCGATTTGGAGCGGATTGGAGTACATGTATTGACATGTAATCATGCTCCCTTGAGGCATGAAATCAAATTTGAATGATTTCCATCACAGTTAAAAAATTCAGTTCATCATGATCTACGCTGTTTTCTAGAATATTCCAAAATTCCATCATTGCATCATGAAACTAGTTGACACTTTTAAGGCAGCATCAGCACACAACTTGAATACACTGCTGTGTTTAATAATTTCCATTCTGGAAAAACCTTGTCCATACATATGGGGTTACCGCTCAGTGGATTTAGGGTTTTGCAACAAGGAATACATTACTTAAAATCTCCATAATTCAAATATTTCACTTAGATCCTTCATTGTTTGGCTTTTAAAAATAATTATGCCATATTAATTTGATGGAAAATATAGCATGTAGACGATACAAGTCCAAGTAATATTATTCTAAGAAAAATACAGGGTAGAAATATTTGTACTGCAGTTTCATTTTTACTATTGTGTTATGCACCAACAGATGCAAGAGCAAACAGAGCTGGACTAAAAATACCTTTTGGATTTCTTCGAAATCAATTACATCAGGTTCCAAGATAGTTGTAAGAGCAGTACAGCCACGGGTATGCACCTACTATATACGTTTGTTTGCCAACATATTTGTTTTTCTAGATAGACGAAGACACCAACTGTTATTGATATTTTCACGAACAGTGTACTCGTCCAAAAATATGGCGGCAGTCACGCAAATATACGCATTCAAGTATGAAAAATAAATATAGGCTTTTACCCTTTCTGGCAATAAAACAGGTGTTAAGATGTGCAAACACCCAGATACTTTTGGCATTAACCACACACAATTGTGGTGAACGTGCAAACAAACATGCTCTGATAATACTGGTAGGAACGAAGTTGTAAACTGAGTGTACCAGCCTGCAATAGATTAATGTGTCCGTCCGTCCGTCCCCTTTCAATACTTTAACGAAGTGAAAAATTCCAATGTTCCTACCAGCCCACGCTGCAGGGACCTGTTATACGCATCGTCTTTGAAACTGAATGGCCTACGCATTCAACTTCGTGCGCACACACACCCACAGTGCTCTCCCGTGGACACGTTATGACGGCGTTGCGCGGCGTGTGTTTTTTTGCCCATTGGTGGCCCGCAGAGTGGAGCACCTGCCAGCTGAGTGAGCGTGCCGTGTGTGGACAGGGCAGCCGCACTCGCATGCTGGACTGCGTGCGGAGCGACAGCAAGTCCGTCGACCTCAAGTACTGCGAGGCCGTAAGTGTGTGTGTGTGTGCGCGCGCGCGTGTCAACTGAGAGTCAAGGTTGCCAGGACGTTGCATCATAGGCAGGGAAAATTAATTACTGAAGCAACATGCTCCGAACACTTTTATGTATACATGAAGTTGAAGCTGGAGCCTTGGAATTTCTTGCTCACGCCACTAGTGGCAAAAGAGCTCCCACTACAGAGAGCTGAGAGGAGTGTTCTTCATTGTAAGGCCCGTGGGCCACTGGCGGCCCCCGACAATACACAACACGTGGCAACACCCCCATCATCACCATCGTGCTGCCGTCAAACCCCCAACGGTGTCAAATGTGTGGCAGCTCTCACACCGATGATGTCCTATGATGGCAAAAGTGCCCCCCCCCCTCTGAAAATGTGTGCATTTTATAGTATTTTATCTCCTCTTCCATGCTGGCCAAGGTGTGTTAGAAGAGGTGGGAGTGTTTTAATAGGCATATTTAATATAGAAAAAAATTAACTAATAAATATCGCTCTTTTTCTTGTCAACACTTTCGCTTTGCCACTGGTTTTAGCACGGATATGCCTTTGATGTTACAGATTTACATCACCACCATTAATATATCCCTGTTCACAAGTGAGTCAAATTGAAGATGGCTGTAAATGGAGATAAATAGAAGCAAGCTACCATATTCACATGCCATGTGGGATGTGAGTATGCCATTTCTCCACAATAGTGTTCCATCTACATCTCCATTTGCTGAATATTGAAAGGCATTCATTGTTAATAGGTTACATTACATACACTTGGATTTTTTTATGCCGTACTTAAAAACGAAATTCTGCATGCACAGAGGCAGTCAGTTTGGTACAGTAGTCAATTCGGTAAATGTGATGTATAAACCACACAGTTTGGCATTACCGTGAAATCCTGTTACGATGTTTGTGTGGGAATCCTACATTTGAATACTTTATAATTAAAATATGTTAACCTGAAATGACAATAAAAATTACAAGAAGAGGTAACAAGAAGAAGTGATGACAATGCTTTGTATGTTATTCGTCACATTGGTTATCATCTGTTTTAAACTTGTCAACGCTACTGGATAAAGAAAACAGAATAATTTGTTTGCCTTGGCTTTACGAACACATTCTGAGAAATTAAATGGACCCACAGAGTGACTTGCACTGTGATGTTAAGGTTATTTGTATAGTTAAATTATCCTGGGATTTTTACCAAACTCATTAATGTTAAGAGTAAGTTAATTTGATTAACGTTATAACAATGTTTCACATGTTTCACTTTAAGCTTTTCACCCTTGACAGGAACTTACCTGTGTGAAAATCAATCACCTTGTCCTAATCATAGGAGACTTGAAATGTTCACAATTTGTGTGAGGGGCAAGTCACCCTCCAGATCTGTTCATTTTGAATTATATTATGACAGGGTCATCGTAGCTGGATGTGTATTCCCCCTCTTTTGGTCATTATGCTACCACAGGTGGTGAAGGAAAGTACAAAATATTCCTGCATTCTCCCTTGAGGGTCCTCCTTGTGTGCCTTTCTGGTTTATAATTGCTGGATACAGTTTCAGACTGACACGTAGCTATTTTAACGTCTTATTCATATTCGCAATACTGCTGTGTGTCGCATGTCAATGCAATGATTGTTTGGAGGTAAGGGAGAGCATTTTTTGTTAAGTATTCTACATTGTGGAAGGGCATATTTACGTGACATTGGTGCACGTGGGCACCAATGCTAAAATCCGCATGATGATCACAAAGGGCCATCATGTGGCCGAACAATTAATTAGCTGCAGTAAACAATACATTTCATCTTCGTGAACTTACAAACAAGAACAAGTTAATTGTTCAACTAGCCAGAAAAAGGAATATTTTCACTATCCTTGATTAAGCAAGTGAGAGACCACTGGGATAATTCTTTATTTTTCAAGTGACAATTGGGATACCTTTATTGTGTGATAATGTTTTGTTTGGTATGCTCTTGTAAATTATGTTGCATGGTCTGTAATGTCTTTAGCAGCTCTTAAACAAATTGCAAGCGAATCTGCCTGCAAACTACATTCTCATTATCTACATTTCTCAAATATGTTTATCTCTTTTCTAACTTTGACATTCACTTACTAATAAACTACAGCATTGTTAGACAAAACAAAATAGCTGATGGGTATAAAAAGTGTTTAACAATCACGTAATGAATGGCTATTAAAGCTGATTCTATCTTGATTTACTCTCAAATGGATCCAGGTGTTGTGCATTTCTGTCCTTGAACAAGCAATTAATCTGATGTTTAAACACCGTTAGGAAACACATGGTGGATTTTGTTGTTGTGTTATGAGAAGTGCTACAGATTTATGAATCACACCCTTGACATCTATGTTCAGGTGTGCATATGTTTGAATGTATAGCTTTCCACCGTCATGTTTTCTCTGTGAAATAAAACACACATTTTAAACATTTCCACAATGTGATAGCTTGAGAAGGGGGAGAGAGGGTACAGCTGCACAACAAAAAGACAGCCACGTAAACATGTTGGCCCCATCATCAGCAGTACCGGATATGGAAATGGCTGATGAGAGGTGAGCCTGGTGAAGCCGTAGTAAATTGTCATCTGACTCCTCCGAAAGGGACTCTAGGAGACTGCTTAACTTAACACGTATGTTTGTGCAGCCAATTATTTTCATTCATAGTTGAGTTTATGGTTAGTCCATGTAATTATCTGATTGAATATGTCTCATTAAGACCCTCCTCCATCCGATATAGCGGGGCAAAAAAAATGTCACGTATACATGCATACGTGACAGTTGTGTTTGTGTCAGCTCACCAGTAAGTTAAAGAATAAGTCTCAAAATAAAATTTTGCAATTAGATATCTTATACATATATTTGCCTGCCTACAATATTAATTATGTGTTCAGCAATTACACATCGTGAGACATTTCCTTCAACGATAATTGCCACGTTAAACACTTTTATACGTGACGATTTCATATGTCAGGTGGTAGAAGGTCTTGACGACACAAAGTTAGCCAGATTATTACATGGCCTGAAACAAATTCTCATATGAAACACGTTATTACTCGATGAGAACATGGTATATATGATATCACCTCTAAAGACAAGTGAATAGCTCCAGACATGTAAATTCACAATATTTTGTACAATATTTTGTTATAATTTCATACCTGTCAACCCCTTATTAGTGCCTACCTTATTACAAACCAATTCAGATCTTATTGGTCACCCCGTGCCATTATAAATCTCAACGTTCATCCTACAAAGTCCCATCACAAGTGAAAAACACAAATAGACAAAAAATGCCCTATTGAAACGGCTGGACTCCGTACCGACCTACAAACTAAATTTCCCTGGGAAAGCCGTATGGGTTGACACGGTATGTAATTCATTTATTTTTATTTGCTTCATGTGTTATATGTTGTTATCGTCCTTTTCTGAATATTAGTAACATTATCAACTGAGACTGTGAGTAGGAATGCACAAAGTATTTTACCCCAGCTATGATTACGGCCAGGTATAATTACATATGGGCTAAAGTAGTGAACTATTTGTCTTTTGTCAACGTGACACTTTTTTGCTGATTGGCCGTGTCGGGTGGTGGAGGGTTACGACACATTTATAAATAACGCGATCTAACCCAAAAACCTTTATTATGAATTATTATGAAGAAATGTCTGTACTGTTTTACATCAGAATATAAATACTGTATATGCCTATTGTGAAGTGGCTAGACAGATATTTGTTAACTTTTTAAACACAGTGGAAAGTCGTAATAATAGTGATTTCAATTTTCAATATTACATTAAAACTTGATCATGCAAATGTAACTTTAATTAAATTTGCCTTATTACAATAATGATTATTTTTTTTATTCGCACGCTCCCTCAAATTTGCTGCATTATTAATAAAGGTTAAAAATTTTGCCTGACTAATTAATGCAACAGCCATGCTGAGTTGAAAGCTGGCTTCCAGCAGATCCTAAAAGACGTACGAAGGTAAATTAAACAGGGTGCAAACTGACATTAACCTTTCAAGTGCTCTGGTTTTTTACAAAGTAAATATATTAATGCAGGCTTGGCCATTACCTCCGATAATCACCCAGAAATGTCTGTCCGTCCGGCGCGTGACGTCACTCCACATGAGGCCCACCAACCCGCGTGACGTCACTCCACGTGAGGCACACCAACCCGCGTGACGTCACTCCACATAAGGCCCACCAATCCGCGTGACGTCACTCCACATGAGGCCCACCAACCCGCGTGACGTTATTCCACATGAGGCTCACCTCTCATTAATATTCATGAGTGGGTGGATTTTACACCAACGCAAAGACAGGTCGAGCTGAATTAAATAATTTATTACGCAAAGTCGCTCCAAATATGACGTTTCTTTACAGAAAGTGATGGTAAAAAAATAAATCTACGCAGCACAGTGCTACATTCGTGTGTGACGTCATTGCAAGAGAGCCCCCCCCCCCTTCATTAATATTCATGTACGCGTGGAAATTTACACTAACGCACAAGGTCATGCACTCCACATGCCACACCCCTCCCCTAATGAATAATCATGAGCGGGTGACGTCACTCCACATGCCGCACCCCTTCACAATAACCATGAGGGGGTGACGTCACTCCACATGCCGCACCCCTCCCAAATAACCATTCGCGGGTGACGTCACTCCACATGGGGCAACCCCCCCCCCCCTCATTAATAATCATGAGCTGAACAATTTTCTATTGAACATTTCAGATTTTTTTGCAATATACACCCGTCCTTGGACGGGCAAAAAAAAGCTAGTTACTAATTAATGCCATAGCAGGATAGCTAAAATTACCGTTCAGACATGAGCCTTATTAAACTATTTCTGTGATACCGTTATTAATGTGTGCCTAAACGTCACCAAATTCATCATTCTAAATATAAGCATGACATACAGTCGTTGTATTATAGTCTCCATCAATAGCGTCATTGAATGAATTTGGAAACAACGATGGCAAA